CTGTATCTCCGATACAGCCTGCAGACCAAGACGAAGGCGCTGGACTGTTCCTTTTTTTTTAACGGGACACATGTCTTAAAATAATGGTCTCCTTTTAAAATAATTTAAGAAATGTATGTATGTACGTGTATACAACATAGACTAGCTACGAAATAATGCTAGCCAGATTAGTTGAAATTCGACTTATTGACCTGGAAGTCGGAAGTCGGAGGCAGAGCTGTAAAAATTTCAATTCCGATTAGAAATCATTAATTTTTTTGCATTTTTTAATTTTAATTTTCTTAGATAACCCAGCAATTAATAATCAATTATAATGAAAAAAATCAAAAATAACTGAAAATCAAATAATTATATTAATCATGTAATTAAAAAGTCAAAAATAATTGCAAATAATCAAAAATAACAAAATAGCCATGTAATTGAAATTAATTAATTAATATATTTTTTTAAGTGATTAATTATTAATCATTAAAAAGTGCAAATTATGGTATTTAATCATTCAACGGTTATCCAAAAAGAAGATGCTTTAATTAGTAATCATTACGATTATTAATCATTATTTAACAGGTCTGATGGGAAGCATTAAGCGCCAGTTTTTAAATCAAATGTATTATTTTCGGTGATATAATTTATTTTCTTTCTCATTACATTTAAAATCATAACGTTAAACCGAACTTAATTCAGAGCAGAGCTGCGGGTAAAAGCTAATCATTTATAGATAAAACAAAAGCCATTTTTTACGTTCCTTCGACTCTTGTTGCTCAGAAAGGACAACAGAGTATTCCGATATCATCGGGAAAGCAAATGCCATTTGCTGTGCATCGTATTGGGCGACGTGGATCGATCAGTCCGAATATATCTTCTTCAGTCACTTGAAAACTGTCCTGCACCCATAAGAATAAATCATCAGCAAATCCAGAATAAGTGGGAATATTCTGTCAAAAAGAGAAAGAGTGAAAATTGAGATAGATAGATCTCTTTTCATAGTTATGTAATAATGAAAGAACCTTTTTATTTTTATAAGTGAATTCTTTCAATGGGCATTAAAAATACAAAAGAGGCATTTCCAGATAAAAAAGGTAAATTTGTAAAAAAAATAAGTAAAGAGGCTATGAATTGAATGTTTACAAAAAAGAACTTTTGTATAATTACAAAACGGTTCCCTTTTTCGACAACTTATCGAATTCTCAAAACTTGTAGCAATCAGAGAATTTGTGGTTCAGGGAGAAAACCAATCATCATGACTGGCAGAACAACTGCAAAACTCACATCTAGAAAGTTTACGTTTTAGAGGATGAAAGTTTTTTCTCTTAAATAAACGACGGGCGCCTGGAAATTACCAATTCTAGCCTGACAATGGCACAGCAGGCAAAAATAATTAAATATATGCTTAAGCCTAAATTGGCAACAAAAGTCATGGTACTTATCGCGATTTCTATAAACGGAATTACAACAAAAATCAAGGAATCAGGATTGTCAGTCGACCAAGAAGAGTATTTGGGAAATTAAATTCTCTAAAAATTTGTTTTAAACTTTTTTTTTACGAAAAATGTAAAATAAGCTTGCAAATCACAAAAAAACCCAAAAACACCTAAAATCCAAGATGGAGGAATGTTCCCATATGAAATTTAGGGGCAAGTCGGTGGATCAATAATCTACGTGTCAAATAGAAGTAAACTCCATAAAAAGTTCCCTACTACAAATTTTATATATATATATTTTTTTGAAGAAGTCTAAATTTACTGGGCTATGAATAGCTAGTGAAACCGGCAGTTAGTATTTATTTCTTAACAGTTCCTCTATCAGAACACTGTTAGCATTTATTAGACAAACTGATAGTGTATTTCATAGTTAGGGTTAGGGGCTATTTATTATAGCTTTTTATACAAAATTTCTTCTTTGTTACAGTGTTCCTTGGTATATACCATAGTGAATTTATTTACTACGCTAATTGTTCTGGCACCGTAAATAAACGTTTAACACGTTTTTATTTACTATTACTTATTTTTTTTTTGTAACGAAATGCTGACAAACTCAAAATCGCTCTGCGAAGATATCAACGAATAAAATTTTACGATGATAAGAACATTTAGCAGCGTATAATAAAAAAGAGTATAAAGATAGGTAGTATTACATTTATAAATAATTATTTACATATCTATAAAAACTTGTAATCGCTAATGAGTAGGTTTATGTAGGTACATATGTACATATGTATATGTAAGTACAATCTATGTATGTACATATGTACGTCTTGCCAAGAGAGTTAAAAGTAGCTACCCTGCAAGGAAATCCACTAGTGCCGAACTCGAGCTCCCAAAATGAATTTAGATCTCTGATGGGTACTGTCTTACCCGCGGGCAAAGCTCTTTTAAGCTTCCTTTATATTTTGTATAGGCCCGTGCAGAGTAAAAGCTCTCTCGGCGCATCGCTAATTTAGATCCACGACTAGTCTACTTTGCAAACGAACCTTTGCGGATATCATCGTGTAAAATTTTTGTTTAGAAGTAAAAAAATGTATTTATTTTGCTTAACTTTCTTTGACTAATCAGTTATTTAACTTTTTAAATTTAATAATTCACTGCCTTTTACTCTGCGTGCGTCTATACAAAATGTATAGAAAGCTTAAAAGAACTTTGCCCACGGGCAAGCCGAAGCCCACCAAGAACGGATAACGAAATAAATTTAACGATATTTTGTAAGTTTTCTGATAGAGAATTAAGGGAAAGTAAACTCGTTTTATATACATAGCCCTCAAAATGATTTTCAAAAACTAGAGGTTTTCAATTTTTTTCCTTTTTGATGTGTAAAAATATTTGCTCTCTGTTTGGGTAAAATTTGCGTTAACCCAGCAGAAAATCTGTAAGTGCTTCTTGAGAAATGCAGAATAAAATCTGTAATTTTTCATAAGAAACTACTGGTGTTTTTCAAGGGTAGTTCCAGAATTTTTCGGCACCAGTTTGGGACATTTTCGAGACCAGTTCAGGATGTTTTTGACACCATTTCGGGCCTTTTTTAAACTTTTTTGGTAACAAAATCAAATATCTCGAGAACTAGAACCATAACGAAATAAATGTTCCAGTATTTTGAAGCTTTTCAGACCGAGAAATCAGGAAAAATAGTCTCGTTTGATAAAAGGAAATACTTATAGCCTTAAAATGGCCTTCAAACTATTTACTTTTTGATACTTAAACATCCTTGCTCTCGGTACGGGTAAAATTTGGGTTAACTCAGCAGAAAATTTGTAACTACTTCTTATGTAACCTAGCAAAAAATCTATAACTTTCATTAGAAACCGTCTGCGTTTTTCGGTGCTAGATTGGGACTAGTGCGTCAACAGGTCAGGGATTTTACGGAACTAGTTCGGGACATAGATATTTCTTGACCTGAACACAGTATGCACTGACAGTTTGCAAAAGTTTTAATCTTTTTTTGTGCAAGCAATCCATGTCCAGGGGCGAAAGAACCAAAAAAAAATAAACAATTTTCTGAAAGTCATTACCTGCTGATTTTAGGTAAAAAAATTAAATGCGCCTGGGCCACACTGGAGAAGAGAAACTTACGCTACATATCTATTTTGTCTCATAACCAATATACATACATACATAGTAACATCCAATAAAATATCGATAACAAAACCGACAAAAATACCGATAACAAAATCGATGACAAATTCGATACAAATTTCTATTGCAAAATTTATAATAATATTGGTAGCAAAACCATTAGAAACACGATAAAAATATTGTTAACAAAATCGATAAATATATCCAAAAAAACGATAAATAACCGATAACAAAAATCGATTTGAAAATCGATAAAAATATCGGTAACGAAATCGATAAAAATATCGATAACGAAATCAGTAAAAATATCGATAAATAATCGATAACAAAGTCGATAACAAAATCGATAAATAATTGATATATAATCGATGTAATATCGATAACAAAATCGATGACAAGTTCGATAAAATTTTCAATAGCAAAATTGATAAAATGGTCGCAATATCTATACAAAATCGATAAATAATCAACAACAAAATCGATTAATAATCGATAACAAAATCGCTACATAATCGATAACAATATCGATGACAAACTCGATAAAAATATCGATAACAAAACCAATAACAATGTCGATAACATCGTTAAAAATATCGATTTCAAAATCGATAAAAAAATAAAAGTTAATTTTGTATTAAATGGGGCCTTCATAAGGAAATTTTTGATTTTAATTCGTCTTTTGATCTAATAACAACACGTAATGAACTTAAACAAATTAAATATTTTTTTAGTTTTATTGCATACAATTTTTAGCTAAAAAAAATAAAATTATTGAAAAGGAGACTATTTTCCTGAATTCTTCATCTCATCCTTACCTATTGTTACATTTATTAAGCTAGCTGTTCTCGTTTACGAGATATTAGATTTAATCACATAAAAGTGCATTTTCCATTCTATTTGTCGATATTCGCGAGTAATTCCGAACTAGAAATCTATTTTCCTAGCTGACGATTTTCCTGCAGGGATATACTTAGCTATCAATTCCTCATAATAACAAATCCGTCCATATGTATATACATACATATTTAATAATGTATGCAACGCAACTGATAGCTAGTGTGCATTAGCTTAAACAAATTTTCGTTAACCTACAAAGAGCATTACTAATCTTTACTATGCACGGAAATGTACACATTCATACATTGTCAAAGCAAGTACGAATTTTCATTGTCAGATAATAAAGAGAACTAGTAAATAGAAATAAACATTTTTTGTATGTTGAACCGCAAAGCAATTTAGCGAAAATGGTGTGTATGCGCTTGTGCGCTCAACAACTACGAAATGCTCATTGCAAGCGTCTCCGATTCGTCTTTTCAAAGCTCACCCAACCGCTCTCTACAAAGAGTCGCGTGAGCACAACAATTGCCGGTGGCTACTTCAATGGACAAACGGAGCCACCAAAACTCAGTTGCCTAGCAAGTGCTGAAATAGTAAAACGTGCAAAGAAGGTGCCCGGCTACGACACGCTGCCACAACGAATGGTGAGAGGAGGCAAAACCGCGGAAAGCGAGGAGGCAAAACGTGAAAAGTGCAATTCTCGCAGTTGTGGCGAGGAAATTGGAGACCAAAATAGCAAATCCAACGACAAGCGCTTTTGTGAACGGTCAGCAGCGTCAACAAGGGGCGAAACGACCAAGCTGATGGGCATGGAATCGGCGCGTATTGTGATAATCGGTGCCGGCGCGGCTGGCGTAGCGGCAGCGACACGCCTCCTGCAGGCTGGCTTTGAGAATGTATTGCTGCTTGAAGCTGAAAATCGCTTCGGTGGACGCGTACACACCATACCATTTGCGGATAATGTCGTCGATTTGGGTGCGCAGTGGTGTCATGGAGAGAAGGGCAATGTGATCTATGAGTTGGTCAAAGACTGCGATATGCTGCAGCCGTCTGGCACAATCTACGATGACTACAAATGCGTGCGTTCCAACAAAGAAGTGTTGTCCGAGGCAGTCGCCGATGCGCTCAAGTCGGTGGCTTTTAATTTAATACCAGCACACCAGGATGGCTTGCAAGGCTTCGAAGGTTCGCTGGGAACATATCTCACGGAGGCGTTTTGGCGCGATCTAGAGCAGTCGCCCGAGATCGATAAGACTGTGGCGCGTGAATTTTTCGAGAACTACAAAAAGTTCGAAAGTTCGATAGAGGCATCAGATCATCTATTCGAAGTTTCAGGGCAAGGTCTTTTGGAGTATTGGAAATGCGAAGGAGATATGCTGCTTAATTGGAAAACAAAAGGCTTCCGCAGCTTTCTGCAGTTCTTGATGAAAGCGAAGAAAGACTCCACCGACGATTTGGGACTGCTGAACAAGCGCATACAGTATAATGCACGCGTGCAAAGCATCGAGTGGCAAAAGTCGAGTGGCGAGGTGCATATACGTCTTTGGAATGGTGAACTGATCGAAGCCGATCATGTCATCTGCACTGTATCGTTGGGCGTGCTGAAGGAATGCCACAAGCAAATGTTCACACCCGCGCTGCCGCCTGCCAAATGTCGCGCTATTGACGGCCTCAAGTTGGGCACAGTCGACAAGTTTTTCATAGAATTCGAAACGCCCTTCGAGCCGCATGACTGGTCGAGCTTTTGTTTCCTTTGGTGCGACGAGGATTTGTTAGAGCTACGCAACTCTGACAACTTTTGGTTGGAAAGCGTTTTCGGCTTTTATCGCGTTACTTGTCAGCCACGTTTGCTTCAAGGCTGGATAATTGGACCACACGCACGTCACATGGAAACGCTACCAGAAGCGGAAGTGCTCAAGGCTTTGCTTTGGCTTTTCGAGAAGTTCTTCACTTTCGCAGTACCAAAGCCATTGAAATTTCTGCGCACACGTTGGTACACTAATCCCAATTTTCGTGGCAGTTATTCATTTCGCTCCATGTATGCAGCGGAGCTACGCGCCAACAACTGCGATTTGGCAGCGCCGCTGATGGATGAAAAAAGTGGTCGACCACTGCTACAATTTGCCGGCGAAGCAACGCATTCGCACTACTATTCGACGGTGCATGGTGCGGTGGAGACTGGTTGGCGTGAGGCACAACGCCTAACTGCCTACTACTTGGGTCATAATTCTCAACTGTAAAATCATAGCAAAGCAATAAATTGGATTGGAGTGAGGACGGATGTGACAGTAATAATTTTGACCTTTACAGCTTTAAAAGACCTTGTGTATGTTTTAGCTAAAACGAGAGTTTTTCTTGTGAAAATTTGGCCATGATTTTGTATTTTCTTTAAGTCAGAGAAGCTGTTTAATGCCACACTTGATTAACTATTTTAAATTACAAACCTTAACAATATTAGTCCTACTAGAGTATATTTGAGATGAATAAATATTTTTGTAGGTAAAATTAGTGTTTAGTTTTAATTACAAGGTTATCTCGACCCTGCTCTGGATTGCGTGTGTAAATGACTTTCTAGAGAAACTGGAGAAATTGGGCTGTAAATACTGCTTGCCTGTAGATATTGCATGCCGACTTATCGCTCAGGTAAATCGGGTGGTTAACTGGCTCAAAAATTTAACACTCTAAAGTTCTGAAGGGCTTTGACATCGTCCCTGAACGGTCAGATTACTGCGCTTTCGAAATGGCTCTCGGTAGCTCCTCCTCTACTTACATTCCCTTAAGAGAGTACTGGGTGGGACGGTGCCAATGCAAGAAGGGAACAGTGCATCAAAACTTGGAGGCAGGCTTGGTGGAGGTGTCTTTTGCGGGAGGCGCTCCATCGAAACTTTGTTCAGGCTCCTACAGTGTTTTTCAAGCGGAAATAACTTGCATCAAGGAAGCGGTAGACTCACTGCTAAAGAGTGTGGCGTCAATTAGGGTGGTTAGTATCTACTTTCTTAGCGGCTTTCAGGGCCCTCAATGATATGATGATGCGCCCGAGATCGGTAAGGGAATGGCTGTCCTCTCTATCAACCGCGTCGCAGTACTTCTTAATCAGATTCAGTTGGGTGCCGGGCTACAGTGACATTGAGGGAAACTGTATGGCTGACGACCTGCCAAGTAAAAGCGCAATTGATACATTGTCACCAGCTGGGACCGCCTCCGTCAACCTCTGGCTATCATGTAAGCTCAACGATCGTTGGGGTAAAACTAGGACATGCGAAATCGCCAGATCCTTCTCTCCTGGGGTGGAACGAGGCGGTGAAAGGAGCTCCTTATGCTTGCAAAACCTCAACTCTCGCTATTTATGGAGGTTTTGATAGGCCATTGTGCAACTAGTATTCACGCGGTAAGATTGGGAATCTCAACTGATCCCTTTTGCGGCAGCTGAAAATCAACACCGCTAACCACAACTGAATTTTTGTAGAAAGTATACCGTGGAAGTTTTCGACAGCTTAAGTTGCCAAAATCGGCATAGTTCTTGTGGGTTATTGCCGACTTTCAGCCCTCCTGGAAAAGAAACTTCGATGTTCGGAGAAAAAAAGCGCTTGATGCGCCGTACTCCTGTAAAACTTCGATGGGGAAATACTGGGGGCTACGATCGAAGATGATACCCTTGGTTTAATTGGCAGTAGTTAGGCCTATTTGGACCTATGGCGCGATAGTATGGTGGGAGATGGTTGAAACCAAATCCTGTTACTCAATTTGTAAAATGTGCAACGACAAGCGTGCCCATATACAACAGGAATAATTACTGAATGACCCGGGTGGCGCTAGAGACACTCCTAGACCTTTCCGAGATGGGATCTGGGGCACCTTCCAAAATTTTTCCTTTTGCCGAAAGATACAGGTTTGGAGCGCCATATAATGATTTCGATAGGAGCTGCAAAGAGATAGAATCTGTCCAACACTTCCTTTGCGAGTGTCATGCACTCCGTGTAAAATACATTAAATTTCTGGGGAATCACTTCTTCGAGTACCTAGACAGCTTAGGGAAAACACCATTAGAGGGTCTGCTAGGATTGGCTAGAGAATACGCTTTTGTGTCTTCCGAGTGAACCGAAGTAGTTCGGCTCGTGCGGTAGTCCACTGGTCCATCGGATCCCTGATGTTTTGGGCAATGCCTACCTCCTGATGGCGTTGCTCAGAACATACGATAAAAGTTAAGGTGGTTGGTTCTGTATCAACCCAACAAGTACGATATGACCAGTAGCAATTTTTGTGTTTCTTCACCGCAAGCACTTCGGCTTCGATCTCTTCCTTGCCCGCCCTTTTATTGAAATCGCCAAGCACGATTTTGATATCGTGTTGGGGGCAGCGCTCGTATGTGTGCTCTAAGCGCTAACATAGGAGATCCATGGACTCATCGTCCTTCTCTTCCTGCCGGCGTGAGCGCAAATGAGCGATATGTTGAAAAACCTCGCTCAGATGCGGATTGTGGATAGAAATTCAACCGCCATGGTGAACGCTCCATCACCGACAACGGTAGTACACGTTTCACGCGTTTTTCGCCTTACTGCGTGCTTTACACTTGATTACCGTGATTTCCGCCTTTGTCTTCTCGGGGACATCAACCAGCCGGACAAAGTTACGTTCCTCATTAAGGATTCCAATATTCCAAGTGAATTTCACTCACATCATAGTCAATTATATGTGTTCGGTTACAGCGCTAATTAAGCAGGATAATAAGATATATAAAATTTGATACGGCAAAAATCTTTGACCTGAATTAGGTATCACTTATTATAACCTCCTTCTTCTTATTCTCATTGCGGGGTGCTGTAACCGCCTTTGGCCGAGTTCAGTAACGCAGTAACGCTTTTGACCAAGTTCAGTAACGCAGCAGCATGCAAGTCGTTTATCTTCTGTGTCAACTGTGCCAATTGAAAAATTCAAGTGGTAGCAGAAGACACCTCCGAGTTGAGTAATTTCAATACTGGAGCGTCTGCGTCCATAGGAAGCACATGCGATCAGTCTAACATTTATTTTAAGGATAACATCCTTCTTCAAGAAAAAGGCTTGAATTAATCAAGTACCTACTCCAGATTTCTCCATAACTTATTATTTCCCTCAAAATCCAATCAATGTCAATTAAAGAGACCTATTCCGAGAAAATCCGTTTATTTGCATCAGACACGTAAATAAATACACTTTTTCGAGAGGCTTAAGAAAATAATGTTCTCAACCAAAAATTAATTGAATTTAATTAAATAACGTGATAAATCGCAAACACAAGCTGCTCTATGAAATTTGCCAACTCGATGAAATTGAGGAATGAACAAGCGATTAATTTAAGCCTGCAATATCATAGTCATTCTGGAATCCTCGTAAGAATTAATATGACAAGCCCTTCAAGTACACACCTATACACACTTAATGGCTCTTACTAGGAATGTTAATTCCGGAATACCGGGATCCCGGCCTTTTTAAGGTACCAAAAATATCGGGATTCTTGGCAAGTAATCCTGCGATTTTCGGGATTTGTAATTTGCACTGATGGCAATAATGGATACTCATTTTGTTGACCAGTATTGGCTATATTTCTTCTTTTAATTAAAAATTAATATTTTTTATAAATGTTTAGCTCATTATACATATAATACCGCACGATAGTAACTTCTAAACACAAATATCAATATATTCGCGAAAGCATGGGCCAAATATTGTAAAATTGAGTTTTTAGTTTTTCACTCTGACGTCAGTAGTTTAAAAATGATTTAAAAAATTCGTGCTTAGAGAAGTAATATGGGTATAAAATTTATGAGTAAATCCTGTAGAATTTAAGCAGATTCAAGTTTCTGGTGCAGAATGTCCTTATAATATTTCATAATTGAAATTTCGCAATATTTGTTTTTGAAAAAAAATATAAGTTAGGGACTTATATAAACTCGATAACATCCTTGAATTACGTCCTGCTAGCTTCATCAGCTTAAAAAAATTACCTATTCGTCCTTGTGAATCCAAAAAATTTTATTTTTTTTTTAATTCTAAAAAGCTTTCCTCTTACATTAGGTACCCATATTTTTATTCTACATTGCATTGAATTTGGTAAATAATTTTTGGAATTAATCGTTGCTTTGAAATTACAAAGTCCTTTAAAATAAATCCTAAGAAGAGCTTTTCAAACAATATAGAAGCAATTTTTTCGATTTAAGTTGTTGAAAAGTAATGAATATCTAAATCCTGGGACTCTTCCCGAGATCCTGGGATTGTGATAACGACCTCCCAAAAATCCCGGTATCATACATATATGTATGTATGTATGTATGTAAGTATAAATTATGAAATCCATTTTGCTGAAATGCGCAACCATGCCATGCTTTACTCCTGCGTATGCATCGCATATTTAGCACACCTGTTTGTAAGAAATTAGCTAAACGCATGGTTATGAATATTTATGAGGTCATAGAGTATTGTTGATGCCGACAAGTACAACAAATCAACTATGAGAGACAGCGTATATATATATATATATATATATATACGTATGTATGTATGTACTTAATAGCTGCGGAAATAGCGTAAATTGCGCAAATCACGTTAGTTAAAAGCAATAAATCCCTTACGCATAATCTACTCAAGTGCAATGTACGATATTGTAACGCATACGCCATGACAATTCGTTAAAGGAATGGCCCATAGCTATCAAACGTTAAAGGCATAGGTATTATAACTATGTAAACATATGCACTTGTATGTGCACATGAAAGTTATATCTCAGTTTGGACATCAACGTTTGTGGTTTTGGGTATTTTTCACTGCGGATTTCACAAGACGAACGACGCGCACTGCAATATTTCGTGGACTCAAAATTGTGTAAAACTGTTGTCTTCAACTTTTATTTTTTCATTGCGCTTCCTAAGGGTGAAATTTTTTATTGTGCCCCAATTGCTGCAAAATATAAAAATTGGGATGAAATTGTCACACGATTGGGACCAAGAACAAAAGGTATGATCGAAACTAAATGTCGTTCTCGTAGTTTTGTTCACAAGAACGCTTCAAAACCAAAACCGAAATGAGAACAAAACTTTCGAGAATGGTCTCAATGGGAATTATGTAAGAACAAAACCCTGTGGAACGTTGCCAAGAAGAACAAGATTCGAACAATATTCTCTGGAACATTTCTAAGAGAACAAAATGGGAACAAAAGTCTAAGGATCTTTCTCTCGAAGAACAATTTGGGAACTGAGAGAGAACGAAACGGGAGCAAATTATCTCTGAACTATTTGCGAAGAAAGGAAGCGAGAATAAAATTTTGCGCATAGCCTTCCATTAGTTTGAAATGTTTGAATATTAAAACTAATCAAAAATTAACTGAAGCAAAATTATTCAAATAAAGTCAACGAAAGACTTAACACACGAATCTTTGTTTTGTAAAAATTATTTTGAAATCAGCTTTATTGTCAATTTCGAGGGCTATATCTGACTAAAATATGTTC